TCATAAAATCAACATGTACAGGGTAGCCAAAAAGTAACTACCCACACGCAACCGTCTAATAACTCAAGTAATTCGTATCAGAATTGCTTACAAATTTGAGAAAATATAGATAAGATATGGGTCAAACTTGGATTTCCTGAAATTTTCGTAAAATTTCATCTATTACAGAGGGTGTGGCACATCGCACACCACTCCCTCTTTTTCTCTATTGTCACCATAAAGTGAGAACGTTTTGAGTTACGAACTCCAAAATTTCCAGACACATGTGGTTTGGTAGAATTTCCCAAAATTTCAAGTTTGTTGTTTACAACTAAGCCGAGTAACGAGTTATGATCACCATTTTAAGATCTGGCGGATACATGATCTTAACTCATTAATCAATGGTCTGATTGGAACCTGCTCATAGGACAGCAACCGAAGTGCTTATGAGCAGGTTGAATTTCTTTGAGGCACAATCAGTATTCACTTATCTAATGGAGCTGACTTGTGGAAATGAGCAGAACTTTGCTGATCAAGAGAAGCGAAAGATGAAGAGATATCAGCAGCTGACAGAAGAGATAGAAGCCAACGGATGGGCTTGCAAGCTCCAGACAGTAGAAGTGGGAGCTCGAGGCATTTACAACTATAGCCTCCCAACCTTTATGAACCACCTGAACGTAAACAACAAAGAGAAGAAGAAGGCCTGCATGAAGATCGCTGAGATCAGCCTGAGGGCATCGTATACCATCTATTTGTCCAGAAACAATACCATATGGACAGATGATTGGGAGTTAGTCAAGAGACCAGTAATAGCATAGTAGGAGCGTAGAATGTTTGGGCCCAGAAAAACATGTTTAATACCGCTATAAACCCGTCATAAGCCGGGGACTACTATGAAAGTGATGATGCTGTGTTGTTGAAAGACCTTCGACCAATCAAAGATGTACCTCATCACGCCAAGCAGTTATGCTTGTAGGTGATTATACACTTATAGAGTACAACAACTTTATAACACTCCTCAGATCGTCATCCCCCAACATGCTAGGTACCGCCTAATGAGGCTCAATGTTGCTCGCTAGTGAATAGCTCCCGATGAGATAACTGATTGGGTGACGAAATCACTGATTAAGTGTCGAGATCACGTATCAGAAAGATCTTCAAGGGTCATAACTCGGCTTAGTTGTAAACAGCCAACTTGAAATTTTAGGAAAACACTTCAATTATCAAACCACATGTGTCTGGAAATTTTGGAGTTCCTTACTCAAAACGTTCTCACTTTATGGTGACAAAAGAGAAAAAGAGGGAGTGGTGTGCCACATGACACCCTAATCGATGAAATTTTACGAAAATTTCAAGAATTCTAAGTTTGACCCGTATCTATGACTATATTCTCTGAAATTTGTAAGCAATTCTGATACCAATTACGTGAGTTATTAAAGGGTTGCGTGTGGCCGGTAGTTACTTTACCTGTAGTAATAGTATGTATGTATGAAGTACAAATTGAAACGACCGCGGTTGTGTGTCAATTCGTTTAAATTTGTATCTAGCTCTCGGCTTGCCGATTGAGCACTGTCAGCGGACGACGCCACCCACAATTAAGTATGTATGAAGTATATACTTGTAGTAAAACGATATTCATTCGAACACGACCATTGTCCGGATTTAGCTAGACCGAAAAAGTGACTCATATTGTCCGAATTGGAAGTATATTTCTTGGAGAAACTTCTTTGGATCGTTACCAATACTATACTAGGTATGTTTTAATTTTAATAAATTGGGCAGAATTATCATCTTGGTTGCTTAGTGTTGATTTCACATTTGGGGAGTTATTAATTAGGACTTTTGGTTGATAATTTATAATTATATCCCGAAAGCGAACTCAGCCATTTAATTCTACAGCGGAGCAGCGGTGAGGGGCCGGGCTTGTGGTGTCTTCAGTCTTGAGAAACAATCGTAGAATAACAATATTTACTGAGGACACCATTTAAGCTATCGTGATTCAAGTCATAACTCAATACTTGTCTGTTGTCAGTACACAGTAATCTCCATTTCTATTGTTACACTGTGCAACTTGGATCCTTGACGTCAACAATGTCGATTGTAGAGGCTGAGGACTCCTCAGTCCTCGCCTAACGCCCCCTACTATTATATACAGGTGGTACTACTCTTTTGTTTCGTTGGTTTGATTATGTAGTCAGGGCGATCTATACGTATATCCTGTAAAATATATTATTTTATTAATACAGTGCCTTTGACACCATCAGGTGCCTTTGACAAGTGCCTTTGACACCATCAGCAGAGAAACAGTACTCAATGTTCTTGAAGATGCTGGCTGTACTAGTGATGAAATTAGGATGGTACGGCTCCTACTATCAAACACAGTGTTGAAAGTAAAAGTCAATAATACTGTATCAATTGAGTTCCAAAGCACAACTGGAGCATTTCAAGGAGATGCACTATCAGGTAATCTATTTACTGTTGTTGAAGCCGCTGCACTTATTCACCTCAGATCTGTACTCTCCCAAGTATCATCAACACCTTACCCAGTGAATCATCCAATCCCTAATCCTCCTATCTCAGAAGAATTCATGCCACTCGAAACAGGATACTCTGATGATATTGACTTTAATAACACTGAACTTGCTCCACTCAAAGAAATGCTTCCTATCGCTAAAGATATATTCCAGCAGTGGGACCTTCATATCAATTCTTCCAAGACTGAATTTGTCCATTTTTATTTAGCAGATCCTAAACCCACTGTTAAACGCAAGGTGATTGTTGGAAAAGTGTATAGAGGTGATGAAGAGTGGCGCTCTAACAAAACTTTAGGATCGTTGATGTGCACTGTTAAGGATATCAAGAATCGAATATTCCTTGGTAATGTCGCCTTTAGTAAATTTCAGAAAGTTTGGATGAAGAGCAAGATTTCAGTCCAAAGGAAGATCAAAATCTACGAGGCACAAGTAGTCTCTATTCTACTCTACAACTGCAACTCCTGGGCTGCACCACTAGCTTCGTTGAATGAACTTGATATTGCTCATCGCAAACACCTCCGAAGAATCCTCAACATCAGATGGCCTACTGGGGTTATTTCTAATGAGGCACTCTATGCTCGTTGTTATGTCACTCCCTTGTCTGTGAGAGTCTCTAAGTTTCGATGGAGAATGTTAGGACATATCTTAAGAGGACAGGAAGACTCACCAGCATACACCTCTATGTTATTTGCTATAAATTCTGATATTTTTATGGAAGGGAGACGGGGTAGACCATGTTTAAACTTATTAGATGTTATTAGAAAAGACTTGACTAGTAGAAATCTTGATATTAGACTTAAGAATTTGACTGATTTCGAAGACCTTAGATTTTTAGCTTTAGATAGGGAGGAGTGGAAGAAGTTAGAAGATGGTTGATGTTTTTGTTTTCTTTTTTATGCGTTTTGATATCTATAAGGTGCCTAGGATGCTCTTTTAAAGAGATATTTCGTACTTTGAAAGATTTACTACTACTAATACAGTTATACTCCAGGACCCTACGAACCGCTTTTTAACTCTTGGTGACAGTAGCTTGTTTCTAATACAAATTTCATTGTGAGCGAACCAAACAAGCCACCTTATTTGCAACCTGATACTAACTGATTCTCAAACAATGGAGTCTAACTCTAACCAACTCTTGACCATTTACCAACTCTAAACTATTAATACCCTACAGTTTAAACCTCTCCCTAACAACACACATGCTAGAAAACGAAAATAGAATACCTTACTCGGGATTATTACGACGGGTTTATTAACGACCGGTTAAAATATGGTTCGGGAAAAATATGGCGAAATTGCTCAAAACCCACCACATTTTCCCGGTCGCCATTTTACCGGTGTCCAACGTTTCAATTTTAGATTCAAAAATTTTGTCTCAGATGTAAATTTCCTTATTAGAGATAAGCAGGTTCAGAAATTTTCGCATTGCTAAAACTTGTGAAACAAGTCGAATTATCAATAATTGTTGAAAGTAGACTCTAGCAAATTCGTTGTTTTGAATTAGCATTACATGTTTACGTGTATCAAATAACCATTATGACTCAATTTGTAGAAAATCTTCGAAAGAATGCATCGTTCACATTGTTTAGAATTATGAATAAATGACTGATGAAACTGATTCATACATTATTGACCGTTTTAATTAATTCGAGTTTTAATTTAACTGTTACTTTTACTTTGAGTCCTATTTCATTATGTAGAGATAGTCAATACCTAAGAAATTAAAAATTGGCCTATTTAAATCAACTTTGACAATAAGGATATATGACAAGAATTGGGCAAAAAGGTGAATTTTTTGCAATTTTAGCCAAATGAAGTCGAAAAACCTACAACAAGTGTCCCAATAGTCTTCTTTAGTGAATATAAGACAACCATTAAAATATGAGCACCCATACCCCTTGGGAACCCTAAAAGCTGAGTCGGCGGGTTTATTAACGACCGGTGAAAATGTGGTTCGGGAAAAATATGGCGAAATTACCCTAAACCCGCCACTTTATCCCGGTCATAATAATCCCGAGTAAGGTACCTGATTATTGTGCGGTTAATGAACATCCAGTTCTTTTGGTTTCGTTTGTAATTGTACAGCGAGACTAAGTTTCACTAATAAAAGAGATGCCTTAAATATCACTTTTCTTGTTTGAGAGGATCAACATTTCAAACTTGAAGTTTTGAATTGAGTTGTTCAACTATTGCAGAAATAATATGTTTGAAAGTCTTTAAATTTAAAAGGCTATTTTCAGAACACTTTCAGGTACATATTACTGTGGGTTGTCAAGTGCGCAATTGTAGACAGGAAACGACATGCAAATTGCAACCACTAAATTTATATGAACGAGTCCAATATAAGTCTCAAATATCACAACGGATGAAGGACTTTCATACAGCCCAACCAGTAAAGTTATAATATAGTCTTTGAGCTTTTGGGTTAAACTATATTTTGATCTGAGAGTCACTATAAACCGAACTAAGCAGTAAAACTATAAACGATTTAGGAAATTGTAGAAGATTCAAATCATCCGGATAATAACAAATACAATCTTATTTCCAAAAGATAACACTGAGAAATATCCTTTATAACAATCGACCGTAGTCTTTCTTTAATTATTAGTTTTCATAATGTTATACATATCGCAGTATTTATTGTTGGAATGGCCATGGCGAAAATCTAATTTTTCCCCATTGTTTTGGAATAAATTGCGAATGGCGATGACGCCGTTTTGTATGGTAAAGCGATCTTCAAACTGAGAACAATAATCAGCGCGTTCCAAGACGCGCATTGCAGCTAAGTACTAGGTAGCAGGTACTTGGTCACATTGTTCATGTTGAACGGGCGTCGGGCAACGGCGCATAATTCACAGCAGTGAACTCTAGTTTAAACTGACCTGGGTATTCCCCATGCATTCTATTCAGGATTAGTAAAAATAGTGGGAATTCACAGTTGGTATCATGTTACTCTTTCAAAGATGCCAATGGCAATAGACACTGATGATTTCAATGCACCGTTAACTATTATCCAACTCAACTTAATACAATTATTATCTAACTTAACTTCACTTAACTTAACGGGTGTATAAGCAGGTTCAAACAGTATTTAAGGGACTAATTTAATCAATAAGCCAGTTCTTCTTACCGTAATTTCAAAACAGTCAATACTTCAATACAATATACACTGAATAAATTATATGTTCCACTCTCATGAAATTATGCGAATATTGAATAAAAGCACGCGTCCGACAACGAAAAGACCGCACGTTCGCCATTGGCATTTACAAAAATGACAAAATCAATAAAAGAAATTTAAATCTAATGCTAATGTACTCTTCATAAGTCGTCACAATATTGCTGATTGATTGAAGCAAGCATTCACGTAATGTCTTTACTTTAAAAAGTCTTTGTCTCTCATTACAATAAATTTCTACTGACGGGGCTTTGGATAAAACGGTACTACATAATTCCCGAGCTCAACAACCCGCGTCTCCTCAAAACATTATAGGCGGGACGTCAAATTCAAGCCAATATAACTAACAACAATTTGACATCGGCCGAGCAAAAACGACCACTTTCTACTCTCTTTTCAAAACTTTCACCCGGTTGAGTTGAAGTGGTCGAGACGAAGGGACGAGGTGATGTCACACTTGTCACGTTGAGGTTAACATGACAAAAGTTACCATGACAAAATTTGGAAATCTAATTCTCGTGGATGACAGGAGCCATGTGGATTTGAGTGGTCGGATCGACGATAGGAATTGCTTTGTTCGACCTTTTGATGCCATTACCTGAAACAAATATCATGTAACATCCTCACAAGTTACAAACAGACTTCAGACAGGCTAGGAGGGCTTTAATAAGGGTATAGCATTGATTAATAATGTGAGGGCATTAAAAGTTTAAGGAAAAAGGCAACATAGAATTAGAAATGGAATTAATGGTTAGAAAGGGAGACTTAGTCACCTACTCGTCATTATGTCATGTTCGTGAGGCATTGGCGGATGGCCATGCCGGGAGGGCTGCTGCATGTATCCGGCCATCATGGCCGCCTGCTGCTGCTGTAACTGTTGTTGGTGCAATATCGCTTGTTGGATATAACTGAAACAGAAAGCGTCGTTAAAAGTTCTTTTAGCTTTTTTTTCGAACGTATCTAATTTTCATCTGATCTTGTGCATCAACATGGATCTTACTGCTTGCGAATGGCCTACGTCTTGGCTTGTCAATGGGCACGAGAAGATTCTGTATACAGTTCCATATATTTATAATTAACAAATCCTTTATCTGTCTAAGTTCCCCGATTTTGGCACACAAGTCTACAGTGCATATAACTACTGTCTCTAATTGCCACAGCGGTCAGTACTTGAGCCAAGAGATGTAGTAAAATAACGAACCCACTGCTACTCATCTCCTGAGCACTTAGCTTTGTTAATAGTCCGGCTAGTTGTAAGTTCATATGCAACATTCAGACTGTGCAGTGGCAGGAAACACACGCATTTGTTAAAACCACAAGTACATCAGATGACCGTGAGCCCTTAGTTTTGGAGTTAATTGCGACTAGAAGTGTCACGTGGGTTACGATGCAACGGGTGAGCGCCGCGCACGTCATAGCGCACGCGCTGGATTGCAGGGAACAATGGGAGCTCGAACCGCGGCCATGTTAGAACCGATCAGAGAGGCTGCTTCCGGGAACAGTATGACGCTTGAAACAGTTAGTAACCATGGATACCAGAGGGAATTGCACGGAGCCCAAACTGAGTGCCTGAAGTTTCCGCTAACCCTAAACGACATAATAGCTGGAAGAGATCAATCCTGGTCGCGAATAAAAGCACTCCCCTAAATCACGTGCTGGCTGGAGGCCAATTAGAGCACAAGATGGGGTCACGTGCACTTTAAATGGGGAACAAGTCCAGTTAGATCCGAACTCTGTTTGATATTTACTGAGCTGTTTGATAAATGCTTGTATGGAATATCTTTGTATGACATCCCTGCGCTTCTTACTCTTATATAATTGTGCTGTCACAAATTCCCTAATTGGCAAGATAAGGATTTGCTTGTTAGTCATTTAAGATACTCAGCACTCACTTTTAGGCAACTAACAAGTCCTGTAAATATTTTACCAGCCCACAGGGCAGTGTTCAATACTCTGTTTCGAGAGTAGCAGAATGTTGCTTCACGTGTTTTGTTTTATCGGACCTCCCGGCCTTATTTATTGTATATCTGTCCCATTAGCCCTGGCCCTGTATCATTAGTTCCATTAACACGATTAGCAAGTTAGCAACGCACTAGCAAATACACTGAACAAAGCACACTGGTTCTTGCCATACAAATTCACTAAACTACATCTCTTCAGCCTAAATGACTAATTTAATCCCGGACCTGAAGAGTGTCCGAATGCTTTGTTTGCGCTAGCCACATCGAGGCTACATAAACTGCTGATATTGTATGGAAATTTTCATTTAAACCAAGTTTTCGGGAGCATTTCAGGGAGCTGACTAAATGTTCGTACCTCATTTTGCGTTTCAACCTGCTTGTGAAAGGCTGGAACCTGTCTTTTAAACAGGACAACAACTTGCCTAATGCCGCCTCTATGTCGAGGGATTAGACTTGGTCGTATTGTCTTATGCCGCCAGGACGTCGTGACAATATTAAACATGGTCGCATTACATTTTATATTTCCAGTGTATTTAGCTTTAGTGCAGGACAAAGTGGACCTCATGGCCTGCAGTCAGTTGGACATACATTGACTCAGTACAATTATAACGAAATGTGGTGCTCTTGTAGTTGTGAACATCTTTATTCTTTCTAGCAATATAACGAAATTTGTTGCTCCTTTGGTTAAGGTCCTTTTGGTTTAAATAGTGCCATTATTGACGATAATATTGATATTTTTATTTCTCGTAACATGGGTAATTATCATCACAACCAAGAATATTAGCGGCTCATTGTCTAGTGAATATAATATAGAGTCAAAGAACCCATTGATGTCTGGTAAACAAATATACTGCTACAACTACTAGACTTATATTTTTATTAGGCAACATTTACTTACTCAGTATTCCCCGGTGGCGGAGCATAATTCCTCGACATCTGCTGGAGAAGCATCATCTGCTGCATCTGAAACAAAGTTTTATTTTCAACAAAGTTATTTTATCAATTGAATTCGATTACATATCTATTATTGACTACTAGAATACCCTAGATTATAGTTGAATTTGACCGGATTCATCGGCTTTTCGTCTGGGAGGTGTAACCGTTTCATCGTTGCAGACTTAATTAGAGAAAGAATATATGCGCATATTTGTTTGACAAACGAAACATCAAATGCGGCTAATTTGTATCTTTCTTCAAGAAAAGCAATTCACGCCTGACTTATAATCAAACGTTTTCTTAAGATTCAGACATCCTAATTAATGCTGCATAAGTATAGTTTGCCGTAATCACGACAAAGGAGCCCATAAAATGTACACCCACAAGTAATGACAAGTTCTAGAATTCCATTAATCTAAAACAAGGAGTACCCAGCAGCGGTTAATGTTAGTCTGACCTTTAGTACTTGTTAGCGCTATGAGTAGAGTAGTTGATGGCTCATGGAGACTATCTTGGCACAGTCATAGAAATTATTTGAGTGCAGAGTCGGGCGTGTAGCTGCCCGGTTCAATATGCGCATATGTATTTTATGTACGCTTACTCATTACTGTATGTCAAGCTTACTGACATTTTTCCCGACTTACAGACATAGTGTCTTTAACTTTAACTAAAGACACTTTAACTAATGATTTAGGTCTTTATAAATTAGAATACAAAAGGTTGATTTATTTGTCTCACCGTTACTATTATTTAGTTAAGTTATTATAATTTATAACAACTCATTATATATTTCTCATTACCTGTTGGTCATATTGACGGTCCTGCTCTGATAACATGAACTCCTGAGCGTAAGGGTTGAAGTTAGCGTAGTTAGGGTCCGGGTGATAAGAACCACCATGACCACCACCACCACCTCCTCCTCCACCATTACCGCTGTGGTTTACACCGGGGTATTGACTGCTGTAATCTGAAATAATGAGTACTTTAGAAGTTGGCTCAACTTTACCTGATTAATCTCATTAATTTTTATTTTTATCTAATCCAAATTTTCGAACAACCGACTGTGTATTTAAACGCACACACCGATAAGTCTCCGATGAACATGTTTTGTTGCCAGCTCCGCGGTTCATTAAGTTCCAGTACGTGTTATAAATAATTACTCTGCTTTACTGAATATATCACCCTGCAATTGATACTGTTCATAAACAGCACTATGGTATCCCCTGAGCCCATAATATTGAGTAGGTCTCTTAGCGGTATTGAGGTGCAGATAACAGTTTGAGTTATGTTATAATCCCTTATCATTTCAATACTTCCCCTTTGGCGAAGAAACTGGAAGCTTCTGGTGACTTAATGTGTTCCTGTGTACATTTCAGCACGTCGTAACCACCATGATTATTTCACAGTTTTATCAGCAAGGGGGGAATGCAACGTCAATTAATGTCAATTAATGTCAATTAATGTCAATTAATGTCAATTAATGTCAATTAATGTCAATGTCAGTTTTGCAAAATTTTGGAATACTGACATTAATTGACACGATATTTTTCGACCAGAAATTATGTAGTTCTACCATATTTTTAGCACTTTAGAACGTTTATATCATCAATTTATTCACTACTATCACATATGGAAATGTGAAATGTGAAAAAAATTCAGATCATTAAACAATAAAACTAAAATAATACGGTTTCCCGAAATTTAATTTTCTTAAATGGGCGTGGCCATCCAAGGGCGTGGTTCTCAACATCATCAGAACTTAAAACCCACATTAAACGAAATGCCTTCATGACATTTATATTTGAATAACGAATCTTAAACAGCTAACATTACTCCTTCATACTAAAAAAGCCGATTCTAGATATTTTACCTGTATAAGAAACCAATAAAATATGGGCGTGGCCGGTGGGGACCGAAGGTGGAAGAGTTGGAAGCTGAAATTTTTTTTGGTGGTCTTTGAACCTAAGGATCAACAGATAAGAACATACTCATAATTGTTCAAGGACATTTTGTTTTTTTGAACCGGTCTAACTTACATAGACGTGAATATCTTGAATATTTATCGAATAATGATAATCTCAAATTTCTAGACAAATTAATGTCAATTAATGTCAATTAATGTCAATTAATGTCAATTAATGTCAATTAATGTCAATTAATGTCAATGTCAGTTTGGGGTTTTTATGGAATACTGACATTAATTGACGTTGCATCACCCCCATCAGCAATGCCCAACGGCCAACAATCAATATGTACATCAAACCACACTCATTCTTCACTTAAGTAATCCACACTGCACTACCATCTGAATCCTTTCTAGAAGATTCTTTGTAAATTGACTCGAGTGATAAATAGTTAGAAATATGGGCGAGTCAATCAAACGAACTAATTTATTTTCTATTTTATAGGCTGAAGTCAACGTCTTCTGAACATTATACAGCTGCATTATGGTGAGTTAACTTTGTAACATCTTCCAATTTATCTTAGGTTAAATTTCTATACTAGCGAATCGGCGCTTTTTGAAGATTCTGCTATCTCTTGGTCGTCTAAATACTTGACGACCTCTAATACGCGGCATGCACATTCTCCAGGAACAATATCGCCAGATAAGTTCCGGTGAGGCTCAAGTAAGTAGTATGGGCTACACCGTGCATGTTCTAGTCCAGCCTGGGTACATGGAGGATGGTAGTTCATAACTACAATATTTTCCGAAGCTAAATTTTAGGCGCTGGAGTCGGATTAAATAGCAACCAGTTTATCAAGAGTCTCCTAGACTAAATACTATGAATTACTCAAATAAACCTCAAACGTTAAAATTAAATTTCGGCCCGATATGCTATGGTTTATATTGAAATAACTTGCATTGCTGAGTTTTTCCCTGTTATCTAATTCGACATGGGAGACGCATGTTGAAGGATTTTGAAAAAACAGGAGATATCGTCGACATAATCTTATAACCTAAGCTAAGTAAGGTACTTCAAGTTCGAAATTAATCGACAATTGCAAATTCTCTCAAGTTGTCTAACACTTCAACCGTTCAGCCAGGTGAGTTAGATGCTGCAGACACAGCCCTGATGATACAGGTACTTGAGAGGCTTCTCAACGACGACTCCTTCCTGGACGATGAGATCAAGAAGGAGATAAAACAGTATGATAACGATGGTAACCTCAAGATCGACCGGGCTGAGTTCCAGGTCAGTGGCAGGCTCATTTGTAAAAGTGGGAAAAGAGTTAAATTCATTTGGCAGTTTGCATACGTAATACATAATATAGTTGTAGTGTATGCTTCAAATCAATCTTAGAAACTAAAAATTGGAAACGAATTACTCAGTAGTCATACACGATCCATGGTTCATATAACGCAAATAAGTGCCGCAATAAGATATATGTTGCAGCAAATGCTGAACTCCTATCTGGGAACGATAAGTGAGGACGAGAGCTCGGAGTTGTTCGACGATATCGACAAGGACGGATCTGGGTTTATCGAGATCAGCGAGCTAAAACGGGTTCTACGGAACCAGATGTAAGTACTGAGTAGTAACCAATTTTGTGAGTTACTAAAAAATTAGCGAATCATGGTTACTAAGATTACTTACAATTACCATTGATTTTCTGAAGTCGAAAATTCGATCTTAAAGACCTATCTTATTCTTTCTTATTTTGTTCACGTATAATTTTTCGTAATGAAGTTTAAACAATTTCCACTCTCAGAATGCTGGAACTAGACAGGCTGAAGCTCGAGAATGGAATGTAGCTGGAACTTTCTACGAGAGAGAACAATCATGGACTGAATTTTTTTAACCGCCAGACTTTGGCCAAAAAACTCTTAAACGTTGCTCAATTGTTCTGGTGTCAACCTGTGAATTCCCAGATTTTAAATTATAAATTTCAGAACTCGGAGATTATTTCAAAATGATTTTCGTTTTTGCATGCAGGATCCGAGTCATTGGAACAAAACTTATTGTTAATGTATTGAACGGAACGCCCTTATTTGGAAATTTGGTATTATGTATACACTAAATGGCTAGTGATAGACAAGTTAAGTTCTGACGTTATATAATTATATTTATCCTTGATCTAAGAATTATATGTAGCTAATATGTAGATAATACTTATTATTAAGCTGTGAAAAATATTTCGTTTTATCAGTAAATTTTCATCTAGTCTAACAATTTATGTTTGTGAAATTTAATCGTTTGCAAAAAAGAAGAACGATAGCCAATACTGTATCATTTCATTGCAATAAATATCCTTGTTTTATTTATCAACTTACCTTCCATGCTCATGGTTTCTCGAACTTTCTCTCTCAAGGCAGTGGGATCCACGTTTTTGCTTCGCTGTGAGTATCGCTTTGGTTTAACTGTCACTATCTCGCCCTCTGTTTGAACTGTCATACTCTGAGATAAACAAAAGTTATTCGGAATCAATTACCATCAAGAACGGATAAACAAACTTGTGCGTCAATATGAAAGTCATTATATACGGTTTATAAACGTCAACAAACCCGTTTCAACACAATTACCTTGAATTTAGGCTGCTGTAAAACAGGCATATTTGCTACAGGCATTCTGTCTTGATGACTGGGTGGGAGTTCAGCATCTTGGTAGGCTACAGCTACTCTTTCCTCCTGGTCTGATTCTGTAGGACTGCCTGAGGGGAACACTTATCATTAAGAAAAAGTGAAAGTGAAAGAATAAAGAAATAATACTGATGATATTAGCAACTTGAGCAGGAGTAGGAACCGTCAAGTGTCAACCGTAATTGACATTTCTTGTTATCGTATATATACAAATTGAGGGCCCTGAAACTTACTATTAGAGTGGTTGGCAGCCATTTCTTGTGCCTTCTCTTGAGCGATCTTGTAGATTAGAGAGTTTTGGTTGGGTGAAGTGCGAGTGTGTCGACTGCGACCTTTGCCAACGACCGTCCCTCCTTCCTCCCTGTGACGGGACTGTGTGGCTACACGCTGAACATCCAGGCCTAATCTCAGCTGATCCAACCTTAGCTGCTCCAGCTGCTTCCAGATCTCATCCTCATTATCACGGCCTCGTCTCCCTGCCAAAAGTACAGTTTTTTAAAATTTTTACTTCGGAGTATTCCAACAGCCACATTGTTACACAAGTGCAACCAGCCAATTACAGGAAGCCGAAGGATTTGTTTTAGCCAGTGACGGTTAGGGTAGTGTGTACCATACTTTCTTCGCCCGAGACTTTGCTGCAATGTGCAGCTCCTCATTTAACCCTCACACCCGATTTCTCGAGTATTCGGCTGAGTAGACCGGGGGGCTGCATAGACCACTCAGGATCCTTAGTTGAACGTCAACGACGCTCACCCCACGACCAGGCAGACAGTGGGATTCGAACCCGCAACCTTACGATTGCAAAGCTGGCGTTCTAACCAACTGGCCGTTAATTTGTCAAATTATAATTTTGTACCATTTTTAATGTTCTGTTCATTTATAATTGTTCTTGAAGTTGGTTTGGAATAATTAATTATTAAGTTCTCGATTTATTTCGAAATGCCACTGATAAAAAATGATGGTGTTACCTGGTCGGCGGGTATTGTCGGGCTCGTCCTCAAACTCATCGTCATCAGAACTGAAAGTGTGTTGTCAGCATCAAAAAAATGTCAATAATTAAGTCCAGGCATAGGTGACCCAATAACAAAATTTTGAAGGGCAAACCAAAGAGCTGTGTAACTGTTACGAAACGAAAAACAAAATGAGTAATAAAAATAAAACTTACTCGTAGTCCCGGTAACGAAGGGGTTTCCTGTCTCTGCCTCCACCCCGTCGTTTGCCAGCACTAGGTCTTTCTCGGTCTCGATCAAAGTCTCTGCTAAATTCTCGTGGTCTCTGCTCGGTGTCTCGATCTCTGCCTCGGTGCTTGACTTCCCGCTCTTTTTCCAGCTCTCCGTCCGGATTGTTCCTATTTCCTCCTCTTCTTCTACTATTTCCCCTCTCGGAGGGGACAGGTTCTTTCTCCACTAGTTCCTCAGGAGGTGACGTGCCTGTTCCTACTCCTACAGTATACGAGTCTGCCATTTCTACTTTGTCGAATTTCTGCGGTTTGTATCCGCCGCCGCCGCGTCTGCCGCCCCGACTTCGAGAGCGATCTTCACGTTCGTGCCTTTCTCCCTCAGGACTCTTCGCTCGATCTCGTGGATCTGGCTTAGTCCGTCTTCCTGAGTGACTTCTGTCCTCGCGTTCACGAGGGCCCTGATTTGGTTTACCAGACTCGTTATTGTAGTTGGGTCTGCGGTACGACTCCTTGCCGATATCGTTCTCCCGATCCCCTACTCTGCTCTGGTCCTCATTCGACCTGTGTTTAGATCGGCCTCGTCCCTCACGGCTCAATCTTCGCGTGTTCTGTCTAGGATCTGGTCCTACTCCAATTTCAGAGGATTCAGTCTGGACATAAGGGTTAGGGGGAGGACCTCTACCCTCGTCTCTTGGTACAAGGCTCCTGAATTCACTCTCCCGGTGTTTCTTTGGTGGTCCTTCTCGCTTCCGCCTTTGAGGCTTCTCTTTTTCCCACTGAAACACAGTACGAATAGATGAATGACTAGAGAATAAGGAAAAAACAGAAACGGAATGTGATACTATTCAATTCAAAGTCGCGTGAAATTCGAATAAAGGAAAGTTTCCTACAAATAAAACATACATCTTCCTTAGGTTTCTGCTCAGATTCATCGAACATATCATGGACCCATTTCTTCTCCTTCTTACCACCCCAAACTCGGCCCGTGTTATCTGTTCGAGCACCACGTGACCTCTTGTCATCTGGGTTGGAATAGTTTCTGTCGTCATGCTGATAAAACATCCCCCTCTTAGGCACATGTGTGGGGCTTTCTTCATCTGACTTCTCTTTATCCTCATCACTTTCCGCATCGTTATCTTCCTCCTCGTTATCTTCCTCTTCATTGATCAGTTCCTCTTCATCCCCTTCATTTCGTTTTTTGTTTTCCTTTACTTTTTTGACTTTCCTCTCTTTATTTTCTTTCACTTCTTCTTTCTCTTCCACCTCTTCTTTTTCTTCCCCCTCTTCTTCATCTTTGCCTTTACCCTCTTCTTCATCTTTGCCTTCACCCTCATCGACCCTTTCGACTTGGTTTTCTCCTTCATTTACTTCAACTGGAGCGGCTGCAGTTTTCAAGGGATCATCTTCCTCTGCTCCAGATTGTACCTGAGAAGCATAATGGATATAAAAACGGCTGCCAATGTTTGAACACACGATAACATAACGAATAATCTGAAAACGCTGTTTACGACAAGCACAACGTGGAATATTTAGATACGCACCGCCTTGTTGTGCAATTAAAACAGTACAGTATTATGTACACTAAACCAAACCAATTAATGTATTGTACATCACTCATAATGGTTCACATACTTCGGGAGTGGGGAGGCCGTTGTCTTCTTTGTCGGTTGCTGGAGTCTGCAAATATGAAAGTGTTACTTTAAAGAACTTAATGATGATCAAATATAACATGCTAGTCAAATTTGAAGTGGTCTTGCCGTCGTACATTACAGAAATTATTATTTCATCATAGCACATAATGATGTACAAGAAGTATACCTCATTAAGTCTAGAAAGCTCTTCGTCAGTTTGGTCGCTCTCACGCCCACTCTGAAAATTGAAATATTTAAAGATCCTCTTATTCGCTATGCTAAATTCTATTCAGAATTTCTTTGCAGAATAACTTTACTTGTAATTGATTTTCTGTGCCGAAGAATTCGTCGTATTGACTGCATTTTATAGCATATTTTAACAGACACACAGCACTAGCTTGTACAATGACCGCACCTTTGTTGCCTGTCTTCAAATTTCTAAAGCGTGGAACAAATTAACGAGTTCCAGAATGATTCGCGAAGATGAAATAATCGCCAAGGACTGTTCTTCTTGAAGAATATACACCTACTTCACATGAAGACACATTCTAGAAAAATCCTACACTGATCGACCGCTTAAATCGGTCTAGCATTACATGAATGGACGGTCGTACAAACGCCCGCAAGGGCGGGCCGCCGTTATACAGTATAAACACGTACGTGTAAAAACGCGCGATTAAAGAAGAAAATTTGTGTTTCCATACTAAGTTGTTTTTGCGCCCTACAAACATGTACTTTTGAAACATAAATTTATTTGAAACTTTCCAGAACATAAAATAGATATATATAATTTTTGCAAATGGACAACTTGCATGAATTGAACGAAATTAGAGATATAGCTGCATGCAACAGATGTTGGGAAAATCTTTTTCAAGGGTACAGTTTACCGCATTAAGGTATTTTTAAGAATCATTTTTGTCGGTAAATAAGATCCTGTTTTATAATAATAATAATATATATATTATTATTATACAATGAAAACAACGATTCTACAAACTCAGAGTTTCATGCAAATGCAATCATCAGTGTATCAGAATAACTTACTAAATTAATAAATCCATGTTTTCCTTACAAGCTCCTTCATAAAATTAACTTAACTAAACTAAATCAAAAACAAAATCAAACGAAACGAAACGAAATTGAAACGAAAATGAAATACAAGAACAAAAACTAAAATTAAAATAAAATATTCCTAAAAGCATTTCTTCAGCATAAACTTGTTGGTGTGCCTACATTTACTTATGAGTTCCCTCCTCCTATTTAATAGATTGCCATCTTTATTTAAAATAATATAAAGTTTTTCAGTAAGGCAGAGATGACAATCTTTCGTACCCCCCTTGTACGGATGAGCATGTTTGATTATTTTCCAAGATATTTTATATGGTGTTTGTTTATCTTTCAACTCCCATATTTTCTTAGATAGCTCCGTCTGATTTCGTAGCTTCTCGAGTTTGAAAGAGCTTGTGTGTGAACTGAAACGGGTCTTAAAAGTGTTTTCAGTAAGCCCAATATATTTGTGCTCTTTCTTTTCATTTTCCACTGCAATAGTTGCTTCATATATCACTGCTGCTTCCAGGCATTGTCCGTTCAGTGGGCACATTTCCGGCTTTCTGCAATTGCACGTTTTCGATTTAATTGTAGGTTCTTTCTGAGCTTGGTGTCTGGTGCTCGCTAAGATGGATCCTACGTTGGGTAGGCAACTGTATGATAGCTTAATTGTGTTTCTGTTGAACATTTTGTGAAATTGGTGTCCTCTGGGGAAGTGCTTGTCTAGTAATCGGAGGAAGCTCTTGCCTATGTTTGTTGTTACATTTGAGCTGTATGGGGGGTTGAACCATATGATCTTCCTGGATCTCTTCCTGTTGGCTCGTGGCAAGGCGGTGCTAGTATCTGTAAACTCTAGTTGGTGGTCGTGGCCGCTTTCTTTAAGTGCTGTTCCGTAAATCCCTTTCGCTTTGTCAAACTCTTCTTTATTGCAGGAGATGTCCGATAGACGCCGGTTTATCATTTTGGGGAGCTGGTTTATGATTGTTGGCGCCGAAACATGTGAACTTGTCGGCCTATACATGCTCAACCAACTCCAGCAGTATATTCCAGCCAACCAAATCGGTCTCTACAGAGACGACGGCCTAGCAATCATTCCACAAGCTAACGGACCGAAACTAGACCGAATCCGGAAAAAGATCACGGCTATATTCAAGGAGGAAGGACTAAAGATCACAATAGAAACCAATCTCGTTGAAGTCGACTTCCTAGACGTGACACTTAATCTTGACAGTGGGAAATACTTCCCCTTCCGAAAGCCAAATGACACACCGCTATATATCAACAAGCAGTCAAACCACCCACCAACAATCATAAACCAGCTCCCCAAAATGATAAACCGGCGTCTATCGGACATCTCCTGCAATAAAGAAGAGTTTGACAAAGCGAAAGGGATTTACGGAACAGCACTTAAAGAAAGCGGCCACGACCACCAACTAGAGTTTACAGATACTAGCACCGCCTTGCCACGAGCCAACAGGAAGAGATCCAGGAAGATCATATGGTTCAACCCCCCATACAGCTCAAATGTAACAACAAACATAGGCAAGAGCTTCCTCCGATTACTAGACAAGCACTTCCCCAGAGGACACCAATTTCACAAAATGTTCAACAGAAACACAATTAAGCTATCATACAGTTGCCTACCCAACGTAGGATCCATCTTAGCGAGCACCAGACACCAAGCTCAGAAAGAACCTACAATTAAATCGAAAACGTGCAATTGCAGAAAGCCGGAAATGTGCCCACTGAACGGACAATGCCTGGAAGCAGCAGTGATATATGAAGCAACTATTGCAGTGGAAAATGAAAAGAAAGAGCACAAATATATTGGGCTTACTGAAAACACTTTTAAGACCCGTTTCAGTTCACACACAAGCTCTTTCAAACTCGAGAAGCTACGAAATCAGACGGAGCTATCTAAGAAAATATGGGAGTTGAAAGATAAACAAACACCATATAAAATATCTTGGAAAATAATCAAACATGCTCATCCGTACAAGGGGGGTACGAAAGATTGTCATCTCTGCCTTACTGAAAAACTTTATATTATTTTAAATAAAGATGGCAATCTATTAAATAGGAGGAGGGAACTCATAAGTAAATGTAGGCACACCAACAAGTTTATGCTGAAGAAATGCTTTTAGGAATATTTTATTTTAATTTTAGTTTTTGTTCTTGTATTTCATTTTCGTTTCAATTTCGTTTCGTTTCGTTTGATTTTGTTTTTGATTTAGTTTAGTTAAGTTAATTTTATGAAGGAGCTTGTAAGGAAAACATGGATTTATTAATTTAGTAAGTTATTCTGATACACTGATGATTGCATTTGCATGAAACTCTGAGTTTGTAGAATCGTTGTTTTCATTGTACAATGCTCCCCTCCCGGGTAGAGCACTCTTGAAACTGGATTTCTCCAAAAGAAACATCATATTATTATTATATATATATAATAGTAGAATAATAGTATAATAGTCAAATTATATATATAATAGTAGAATTAATAAATAGTTGTTGTTTGGTTTCCCAAAGAGAGTGGGAAACCAAACAACAACTATTTATTAGTTACGCTCCTTCGACTCGTCGTTGTTGAGCACTCTCGTTTGATAATAGTAGAATTATATATATAATAGTAGAATAACTATAATAGGAACAATCTGAGCAAGTTTGGGCGAATTTCTATGTGCCAAACTTGAGATATCACTTCAAACACAAGAAAATATCTCAAAATCGGTAATATATCCGGTGTTTGAAGTGATACATAAAGTTTGGCACATAGAAATTCGCCCAAACTCGCACAGATTGTTCTTATTATAGTTATCTTACTATCTGGAAAGTTTACAGAAAATTTACCACCAAGATCTCGAGATTAATGCCTTGGTACCAAGTATTGTACCTTGGTACAGTTTGTTACAGAAAGTACAACTCACAGAAAGTTGACGGACAATAACCTCAGGTTAGAACGATTCGTAGTCGACTAGTATACACTATACATGCGCATCGTTGTGGAAGGAGAGATCTTCTGAGGGCCTTGGTTTATTGAGTAAGAAAGGAAAAAATGTGGAATTTGATTCATTCTCGTGCAAATACGTGCGAGCATTCACTCTGGCATTTGACAACAACAAAAAAACTTTGTACGTCGATAAAAAGTAGCCAACCTGCGTCCTTTCTAGTAGTAGTAGGGAGTAGCCCTCCTTTCTTACAGGAGGAATATGCGACGATTTCGCCAGATTTGTGAAATGTAAATAATGTCATTAGTTTGTTATTTTCCTTTACTTAGGGTATGCAATGCAATGGTCCCTGGCCTTGCCCAATACATTCCTCTTTTATCCCACCTTCCATTACTGAACCCTGGCGATTACCTTTTGTACTGGATTTTATTCTATAGGTGGCGATCAAGATTAATTTTGCTATATCAGATCGTATAGTAGAAATCTGTAAGAGTTCCAATCGGTCGATGAGTAAACAATATAATTGCCAATCAATTTTGTTTACAAAATACCAAATACGAATTTCTCTGCCATGATTATTTTCATATTTTTTTCAAACGCGAGAAACTTAACTGGTAAGAAATACCAAAAAGATTTGAAAACATCAATAATTATAGACACGATAAAGACATGATAACGATGTTTGAAGCTAATTGATGTCAAGTTACACTCGGACTTTCCATCATAGCTTTTGGATTATCAAATAACGGAGTAGTTCGCTGTTTATTTTGGATTACAGCAGCTTGAACTTTGAGGGAAAACATAATATCAGAAAGTTGATGATAATCAGTTTACTGGTCATCTGGTGTTTCGGTGTCACTAATTTTGTTTACACTCGGTCACTTGTCAAGGCATGTACAGGTCTTTCGGCGAATTTTCTTTGTAATAAAATCATGGACTTAAATACTTTGTGGAACAATTTTAAAGTTTATTGATAAAAAAATGATAAATTTTAAAATATCTCTCTACATTAAATAATTCCAGTAAGATTTTCAGTCAATGATCGTATCGTTTTTATGTCGTCCAATTTGACCTTGTGCAACAGCACAGCAGTGCCCAACACGCCACTGTACATTTTCCACTTCTGATGATAAAACCCCTCCAAACACTCGACTCCAGTTCCCGTCAGATTAGTAAGCACCCCAATATAAGCATCCTCAACTGCAAACTGAGGGGTGCGCCACATGATGCTGGTGATGCGCTGAACTAGCGCTGCGTTCAACACGTAGCCAGCTCCTGCTGCGTAGGTAGGGTAGTAGGTACTGGGGTAGTGGTAAGGGTCGACAGCGTATTTTCCTGTTCTGGAAACGAGTTTGTTCGAAATACACTCGCCCCCATACCAGGGTTTAGTTGATGAGACATTTATCAGAGTCAGCGCTAACTTTGAAACGTTGAGATATGAATCATCGTCTAACTTGACAAGAAAATCGTACGAATAAGCATCTCGTTGATGTTGTAGCCTCCCCAGATACCAGGCGAGTTTGTGAACAATGTTGCGATAAGAATCAGGACCAGGCCAGACCACCATGTCCCCAAACTCCTTTACCTCATCAGACACATCATACTCCATATTATCCTGGCCCACTAGGAAGATATATTCTAATTCTATAAAACCCCTTCCTGGTAGGGCCCAAGTATTGTTTAACCAGCCGTGAGTGCGGAGCATGTTTCTGATATCTTTATTTCTGGCTGCTGAGAGGATAACTACAATGAAGCGAGGAGTGAACACTGAAGGCTTTGTACTGACTTTACCACTATCATTTATTATAGAGAACTTGATATTACCAATGTTGGCAGAAGTGACAGATTGAGGTAGATTAGCACCACTCTTTATACCAGATACTGTGAGTTTTGAGATGCAATGTAGAGGAGAATATGAGAGCTGGAATATTATGGAGATACCGAGGAGAATCAAGATAATGGATGTTATCCGGTAGAAGAGATCTGATCTTCGCATTAACTTGATCTTCCAACACTAAATCATGGACTAAATAATGGAGTTACTCTATTGAGTTTATAACAGAACTGAGGAATTCACATTTCTACAAGAAGTCCTACTTGGTTGAATACAACTTAATCTTTATTAGCCCATGAAATTAAGCTAAATAACGGGAAGCTAACCGCTATAAGTAATTTGTAAATAACTAATTAAGTACATTTTACACGGCAGCACACGGTAAGGGTAATTAAAAAAAAGCTTATAATACTTGAAATGGACTTAAATTTAATTGACGATGGGAATTTTATATTTATATGACTGAATAATTAATACAAATTGTTGAGTGTCAAAATTGCTACGTGCTCTGTGCGACCTCAAATAAACTAAAAATGTCAGATAAACCACTCACTAAACCCAGCAACAACGCGGACTAATCTACCACTCATTAACCCCCCCCCCCCCCCCCGGCCCCGGCCCCGGCCCCCCCTCCTCCCTAGCTCATTACCCTCACTAATGCTACAAGAAGTATCTAGACAGGTAAAACGAACCCCCTCCCCACCCGGCCTCACGTTCTTCTTTAATCGTTAATTAGGGTCGAGTATGAGCAAGCACGCAGTATCATGGTATACATGTACTAGCATTATGCGAGGTGGTATAACGCTACTAACCCTACTAAGTACTAACTACTGGGCAAATGTTTTAAAGACCGTTTACATGGTGGAACACCACAGGTTTCATGTCAAGAGATACTCTAAGAATAGTAGTAAGTATCGAGTTAGGAGCACTGATGACCATTTTAGTAGGATATGGGATGTAGTTGATACTATTCTACTGTGGTCAGCTGAGCTCGTTAATTTAGTTTTAGATAAACTAATTTAACTGTTAGTGAATAAAAAAGTGTGTTATGTTTTTAACTTTTAGGAAACGTTCCAGACTTAGAGATTTCATATGTCTCAACCTTCTTATCACATATAAACAGGCCATACTAAGGACAAATTTTAAACAGTGATATAAAATTACCAGAATGTAAATGGTAACTGGCGATCTTCTCCATCTTTATACCATAGGAAGTTAGAAATAGTGCAATTTACCGGAGAAAAACTTTCCCGAGTTTAGATAAATCTGTTTTCTTTTTTTTCTGAGAACATTGCTGAAGATCTAAATTTTATTTAACTATAATGCCCATCATGTATCACTTATTTATAGATCAAATAAAAGACAGGTTTTATATCTGGCACGCCTCCAAAAGTCGATAATAATACCATTTAAGTAATCAAACCCCATTTTACACTAATCAGCCACCTCATTAATTGAAAATGAAAACCAAGCTGTTGGATGATAATCGTGTTCTTCCTAACTACCCAATCAATAAGCGCTAATAAGGTTCAGCCTGAATCACGCTTGCTCACACACTAATTAACTACCAATCATAACACACAGTCCAAGATAACATTTATATGTATTATGTAATGCTGGTCATAGTGTGTATTGTGTAATTATATTATATACATAAGTAAGTGTATACAAAAGTGTTTGTTTCTCGGGTTCAAGTGCTCTACTAAACAAATAGGAGCTTTTTATAAGCGTACCAAAGTAAACGATATTAGTTGAGCAATAACATCGTTTACTTTGTTACGCTTAAGTAAGTGTAAAAGATACAGATCTGTAGATATTGCGGAGCGTTTAAATCAAACTGGTAACAACTAACGTGACTGAAATAATGTGAGGCAACTATTTTACGAAACAGTTAGCGAGCGAGATCAATCTTAATCAACAATATAACCACAATACAACTTGAATGAAATCGATTGTAACAGATTGCAATCTGATTTTGGATATCTTAACCTGTGAGGGATGGATCGACGCGACGTCCATTCGTATTGCATTAATTTAGCAGCCAAAACTTTGGATACAAAATTTAATTAGGAAGATTACAAATTCAACAGATGGTTTTGTAAGAACGTGTTCATTTGAAGTTGAGGGTATTGGACATTGGTACGATATCAGTAACCCTATTAAATGGCACTATGCAGTAGACTTTGCCACACTATGACACTATAATATATAAACCCTCAATGGTTAGGATAATCGTTTCATCCTCTATATACATACTAGGCAAACTTTGTCACATACTCACATGGCGATATCTTTATCAGATGATAAAATATAACTTAAACTCGGCCAGCAGTGAGATATAAACTTCATCACACTATAAAATTGCGACTGGGTACGGTAGTGGGTTGACATGGCCCCTTGCTGCCGTAATCCGTATTTGACCAAATTTTCGAATATCCACTGTCCAGTTCATACTTCATAGGAGGGTTCCATATGATTATTATCTACATATTTAACGATTTTTTTTTCCGTTAAATGGTACCTCCAGGTTAACTCCGTCACATATTTAAGAAATATATATGAGGGATATTTAAGACACCCTGACAAGGAATGCCGAATAGTCTAGCATTCTGCATTATTATTTTTATAATTTTGATAATATTTAATAATTATTCTGATTAACAATTCTCACCTCGTACTCAGACGCTTGTGATGCTGTAGCTTCACTCTGAAATAAAGTCGTATTAACAAGGCAGCTTCAAATATTTTATCGTACTAGACAATTAACATCGAATGAACATAGCTTTCTCGTGGGGGTGTTTAACCCCAAAAACCCCCATTTGAGGTAAAGTTGGGTTTTTATTACAAAAAATGTTAAAATTAATATTATTTACACCTACATTCATTTGATACCAAATTACATGTTACCCTCCATCATCCCCATTATCAAATTCCCAGAATGGGAATTCCCAGAATGGGAATTTGAGGTAAAATGGGTTTTTTGGGGTTGGACATCCCCTTTCTAGTGTAAGGACAAAAGTAAGAATTTGGAATGTATCAAATTGTTCAACTTGCAAATTTAGACATCTATTGTTTGATCTTACACCCACATAATTGAATATACTGTGCTACTCACCCCACTCCAAACGTTATCTTCATCCTCGGAGCTGACATCGGACCGTCTTCTTCTCCTTCTTCTACACGGGTCTTCCATCCTAAATATGACAGTAAGTTGTGTAAATCAGGGTTGCCGTTCAGAGTCCCAGCCAGGTCACATGGTTTCTCTCTGCACAGTACTGACTACTGGTGCCCAACCAAGGGTTATGGTCAATAAACAATCAAGAAAAGGTGGTAAATATGTGATAAAAAGCCTTAAAAGCTTGAATGAGGGAATAAGGGTTGTAAGCCAATACTGTAAAAATTCAGGCTCGAACTAAAAAAGTATGCATTTTCAAGAAATTTAGGTGAACGGAAAAGGTACAGTAAATATGAATTATGAGTACTTTATAACAATTTTACTCTCCATCATAACCATATCATGAAAGGTAAGCAGTATGTGACAACTGAACGCTTAAATTTATTCAGTGTACATAGGCCACAACCCAGTAATACCCATTATAAGAATAGGCATGTCATAAAAAATATAAAACATGAATCAGTTATTATTAAAATTACTCATTTCACATAGAAATTCAGTTTTCAATATCAAAAATAAGCTACTTCAAAAAAAACAGATATCAGAATTCTGTAAAGAATACCATTTTTACACCCAAGACAAAGATTGCTTGCTGTGACATGAAAGTCCAGAACCCTCCACAGAAATAAGGTGCATCTGAGGAGACATGAGGCTGACTGGCAGTGGTAGTCTCGTCACTAAACACTCAGCACAGTATTCTATATTTTCCTGGTATTGAACAACTTTGCAATACTGATCATAATATTTCTTGAGATTTGAAGACAGTTTTAAATCAGAATATCTAATAACATAATCTTCTTTAGAACTTGGGTTCCTTCCAAGAGGGTTCTTAATTATCTTACATCCATTCTGAGCAGCATCATGGATACGTTTCTTACCGTGGAAAAGTGAGTGAGACTGGTTTCCCAGTTCAACTGTAAGAGCATTTGTAATGTGACCGCGATGCATTTTGAGATGCTTCCAATCATTTACAACAGGATGGAACAAGTCAGATAACACACCTTGGATATCGTTTAGGTGATGACGAGTACATTCCAATCTTAGTAAACTTGTGTCACTTCTTGAATCATACTGGAGTCTATCTATTCTGGCTAAGTCGATGTGATTCTCTGAATTGCCATTTAATTTTAACTCTCTCAAAGTTGGATCAAATCTGCCATGAACACGAATCAGATACACAAATTTCATCTTTCCGGCATTCTGTGCTGTAGCTAACTTTTGGGCTTTGTTCGCGTTTTTTGAAAATATCACTACTCCAGGAACAAGTTCCAGGTCATTGTGAAGGAAAATCGTGTCTTCCTTGTAATGCCTGAATATGTGTAACATGAACTGAAGAGAGTTGTAAACATGATTCTTCATGTGAGGAATGCAAGGTAAACCTGCTGGTTTGTCTACATAACTGTAATTATTTTCCATTTTGATTGGTTTTAAATTAGCAGGGTTGAATTTTGGGATAGGATCTTCATGGCGATGATGGTTTGCTGTTATGTGATTATGTTTTGCAAGAGGAGAGCTTCCCGTCCGATAAACCTTGCCATCTATAATAACACCTTTTGATTCCAACAGCTGATTTACATATTGGGATTTCTGGCTCTTAGGAATAGGTCCTGTAGTGGTCAACATTTTAAAATCGTAAAGATTCATCCTCTTTGCACTTCTGGTTAGGTTAGTCTTAATGTTCACTGTGTACGGTTTAACAATTTGTAGATCATCAGTATAGTCATAAATGAGGGCTGGATGACTTTTTGGAACATCAAAATATCTCTCCATGAGTTTCTTGGGTGCAAACTTGTGTTTCCATGGTACATTTATGATAGCTTTATCTTCATGTTCAAGAGGCCTAACCTTTGTAGCAAGTGTGACCATTGATCGAGAAACATAAACATTCTTTAAAAATGTGATTTGTCGAACACTCAATGACATTCTGAAATGATTTAAACATAGAAAACGGAATTCTGAAGTGTTCAATTGAAGTTGATTTTAAAATGAAACATAATACAGACTAATATAGATGTGGATACTGGCGGGGAGGTGATAATTGTTTGTTTACATTTATAGTGAGCACATGTTAAGCAGGCTGAGGAGGTGATAATTGTTTGTTTACATTTTAGGTCGAGCACATGTTAAGCAGGCTGAGGAGGTGATACATATTTTGTATTATAGAAGGTTTGTAACACTTGTAACGCTTTCTTGTTACCCCCCTTTGAGGACCCCGAATTATTTTCTGAACGAAAGCTCAAAAATAACCGAGAAATCGACCTTCTTATTAACTCATTTTGATGACTGTTTCTGACCTAAAATTGCACGAAAAATCGATTTAGCTAGGTTTCAGAACCTATAAACACTTCCTTGTCCCTCAAAATTGATGTTTTATAGTTAATACGACCAACAAGCAACATATATTTTGATCCTTCGGTTCTACTCATGACCTAGACAGTTAAGCTGAACCCGACAGATTGAGGCAATCCTCACCTTAACTGATCAAACTGGTACTAACACAATTTTCAGATATAAATGTTCTTTGCGATACGTTTATTGCAGCTTTGCAACTTGAGTGAAGACCAGAGTACGAAAACACACAGCAGGTAAGCAACTCACTTTTGGTGACTGTTCCTCACGAACATTCTGATCCTGTAACATATGAACAGGGAGATCGTCTCCTTAACAAATCGAACAGGTACTATCACAATTTCCAGAGCACAGCATGATAACAAAGTCAAAAGAAACACAATGAAGGTAGGTTACCAACACCACAATATAACAATCATACTGACAACTGAATTAAATGTATTCTGACGACGGGCAGCCCTGATGTGCTCCGTGGTCCTCAACGAGCGACCACTTGTAATAGAGGTGTTATGTCATGTGACACCGATCCGTCCAATCACAAACAGGAAAAGTGAGCAGATCGATATCGTGTGTTTACTTTCCTTATCTTTATTTGACCCTCTGTTCACATTGTTATCTCTACCACATCTTGACTCGGCAAGGTCCGCGTGCAATATCTGCACCGCGGTAAACACGCCATGATTACGTCATGAACTTGAAATAGTGTGATTGTTGTACACTTATATAACCGTGCCCATCGCCCACGTACATTACAAACTGTTGGGGGGGGGGGGGGGGGGGGTGGGGGCGGGGGATGGGGTTTAAGATAAACAACCGATCTTGATAGTGTGTTGGTCGCTCCTCCAACTGACTGTGATGCTAACCGTCCAGTCATGAACGGAACATTAACATTCTTTAGTTATAGCATGTTTCGGTTTCATTGTTCAATTGCGGAGATTAGTATTATTAAAAACATTTACTCTAATATGAGGTCGCGATTATGAACTGAGTGAGATTCCAAATGATGAACTGTGCTTTAAGTTTACACCAACTGGAAGCAAAGGAATAATGCATATATCCATGAGTGCTCCTTTGCTTAACTTAGACCTTTAGACAGTAAGTGTTTGGAAACAGAATCTAGGACACGACTTCACTGACAAGAACTGCATGTTCCAGGAGGAGGCAGTATACAGGAGGACAAGCATGGTTATACCTGACAGAGTTGAAGTACTAGTTCAACATGGTGCAGTTCATTTTTGCCAGGTTAAACACTTACCGTCCAAGTTAAGTTAGGGAGCACTCATGGGTATATTCCTTTGGTTCCAGTTGGTGTAAACTTAAAGCACAGTTCATCATTTGGAATTCCACTGAGTTGATAATCGCGACCACATATTACAGCAAACTGTACATATTACAGCAAACTGTACTTATCTCCGCAGTTCAGCCGAGACATACTATAACTAAAAAATTATGTTATTATTCTGTTCCTGACTGGACGACAAGCATCACAGTCAGTTGGAGGAGCGACCAACACACTATCAAGATCGGTTGTTTATCTTAAACCCCATCCCCCGCCCCCACCCCCCCAACAGTTTGTAATGTACGTGGGCGATGGGCACGGTTATATAAGTGTACAACAATCACACTATTTCAAGTTCATGACGTAATCATGGCGTGTTTACCGCGGTGCAGATATTGCACGCGGACCTTGCCGAGTCAAGATGTGGTAGAGATAACAATGTGAACAGAGGGTCAAATAAAGATAAGGAAAGTAAACACACGATATCGATCTGCTCACTTTTCCTGTTTGTGATTGGACGGATCGGTGTCACATGACATAACACCTCTATTACAAGTGGTCGCTCGTTGAGGACCACGGAGCACATCAGGGCTGCCCGTCGTCAGAATACATTTAATTCAGTTGTCAGTATGATTGTTTTATTGTGGTGTTGGTAACCTACCTTCATTGTGTTTCTTTTGACTTTGTTATCATGCTGTGCTCTGGAAATTGTGATAGTACCTGTTCGATTTGTTAAGGAGACGATCTCCCTGTTCATATGTTACAGGATCAGAATGTTCGTGAGGAACAGTCACCAAAAGTGAGTTGCTTACCTGCTGTGTGTTTTCGTACTCTGGTCTTCACTCAAGTTGCAAAGCTGCAATAAACGTATCGCAAAGAACATTTATATCTGAAAATTGTGTTAGTACCAGTTTGATCAGTTAAGGTGAGGATTGCCTCAATCTGTCGGGTTCAGCTTAACTGTCTAGGTCATGAGTAGAACCGAAGGATCAAAATATATGTTGCTTGTTGGTCGTATTAACTATAAAACATCAATTTTGAGGGATAAGGAAGTGTTTATAGGTTCTGAAACCTAGCTAAATCGATTTTTCGTGCAATTTTAGGTCAGAAACAGTCATCAAAATGAGTTAATAAGAAGGTCGATTTCTCGGTTATTTTTGAGCTTTCGTTCAGAAAATAATTCGGGGTCCTCAAAGGGGGGGGTAACAAGAAGGCGTTACAAGTGTTATATTACAAACCTTCTATAATACAAAATATGTATCACCTCATCAGCCTGCTTAACATGTGCTCGACCTAAAATGTAAACAAACAATTATCACCTCCTCAGCCTGCTTAACATGTGCTCACTATTAATGTAAACAAACAATTATCACCTCCCCGCCAGTATCCACA